GCGCGGTGGCCGCGGCGGCGGCGGCGCGTCCCGCACATCGCGCAGCGCGAACCGAGCCGGCCCCGCCGCGCCCGCCGCCCTCACCGCGGTCTCCTTCTCAGGCGCCTGTCGCGGCTGGTAAGTCCCTGCTGGCGGAGCAGCGGCGGTCCCCGAGTCAACTTTCAATCCCCCCTTTGCTTCTGCCTCGCCATTCTCTTCTCCGCGAAAGATGGCTGTTTGGAGAAGGGGGAGAAGTTAGGGGGTCTCCGGCGCGGGGCGAAGGAGGGAGCGACAGCCTCAGCAGGCGCGGGCGGAGGTGAGTGGCACCACAGCCCCGTCCCCGGCTGGTGCCCGGGGAAAGCCTGGGAATTGGGGGCCAAGCGTCCCCCGGATGTACCGCTGTATCCCCTGCTCGGATTCCCCAGGTTAGCAGCATCCCAGTCCGGACCCCGACTCAGCTTGCCTTGCATCTTCCAACCCAGAGGCTGGTGGGTTTAAGGGAACCTTTGTCGTAAGTTCAGTGCCAGGTCATCTTTTTTTGCTAAGCAAAAACACATTGGTTACGACAAGCCCAGGCGAGGGGTCGGTGACATGACACCCTCTCCCTCCCCGCCCCCCAACACACACACACACACACACACATACACACACAGTTTATACTGGAGCCGAGTTATGAATGAAAAGTTTGTACTGCCAACGTGTTGCTTGAGGGCAGCAATACTTAGTGGGGGTACCTTTGATGTTTCGTGGGGGGACTTCAATTCCAAGTCTATACATCAGAATCCTGGGTTTTAAGAAAAGTTCCGGAGCCTGGGGTATGGGAAATAATGCAGTTTCTTAGCTGGTGGAAGGAGGTTGGTAAATCGTAAACTTATTAGGGTAAACTGGTTAATTAAATGCTTCGAGGGTGTCACAGTGGGGACTAGAGGGAGTAGAGGACAGGGGGCGTTCCTTGAGTGCCTAGCGGGCAGCGTTTGGCTTAGAAGCCATCGCCCACTTGTCCGCAGTAAGAGGTGTCAGAGGCCTGTGCGTTCGTGGTGTGATCGAGTGGGACTGAGGTGCTCTCCAGATCCGAGGCGAGGTTGTCAGGAGCGGTGGCCTGCAGCGTGGAGCTGAGGACGCGATTCAGGTGATACGGAATTGGAATTTCTCTCGTGAGTCTCCTACGCTCTAATTTCAGAAAGATGTGTCGCGTTTGTTTTCCCTGCCGGGACGTGTGTATAATCTCCTAAAAGGAACTTTGAGGTTAAGTAACTGTAACACTTTGAAATCTGTGGGAAATGGGCTATCTACATAAACCCCTTTCTATGTATATTGTGCGTGTGTGTATGTGTATGCAAAATGTGAGAGTGGGATAAGAAGGGCTTAAAAAGTTGAACTTAACTGGAAAAGAAAGTGAAGAGTTAATATTCTTCTCCCCAAAGGGTATAACAATGCTTATAGAACTAAATACTCTTGGTGTGTTGAGATTTCTCATAAAGGGTAGGATTTAGGAATTACAGGTATTTAGAGTACAATCAATGTTTTCAAATCTTGCAAGCATTATTGAAAGCTAGAAAAAGGGAGTAAAAACATGGAGAATTTATATTAAAGAAAAAATAATTTAAATTATTTGGAAAAAATTTGACATTTGGAAAGGTCTGCATGTTATTTTCTAATGCGCTGCAAATCTTTTAAATCCTGTAATTAATAACAGCACAGAATAAATTGCAGTTAGTAAATGAGGACAATTAAAATATCATGTTTGGAAAAGATAGCTTTTGAACTACTCTTTGGTACTGTGGGTGTTTATTATGGAAATTACTGTGACTAAAAACTTGTTGTTAAATGTATTTGCTTTTTACCACAAATAATTCGTCTTCCTTTTCCTTTTAAACCACTATTCCAGTTTGGACCAATTTAATTACCCGAAGACCAAATCACTCATGTGCCTTCTGGAAAGCATTTGCATTTAAACTACTTAATAAGAACATTGTATTTCCAAAAGGACAAATTATTAGTCAGTTGTAACACTTTCTTGTAATTTATTTACTCATCCATTTTGTTTGAATGAGGCAAATCTCAAGAAGAGAGCATTTCCTTGGAGTATGTCATTTTCTGTGGGGGTGGAAAAAGTGAATCTTCTCGTGTATGTTTCAGTCAGAAACAGGTGTGGGTCCAGTGGGAATCCTGAGTCTGACCTTTGATAATAGACTGCCAGCTAGAGGGAGAGATGCTTTCCCAGCTCTCCTGAATTGATCTTCCTCATTCAGAATGGACACGGTTAGATGCACAGAGGATTGTGCAAAAGGAATTAAGAGATTTAAATGAAGTACAAGTCTATGGTTAGGAAGGAAGTATTTTTTTTTTCTTTCTTTCTTTCCTTTTTTTTTTTTAAACCTCAGTCTTCCTCTTTCTTTCCCTCTGCAATTCAGCCTGCTGGGCTGGCCTTCATTGGAAACACTCTTTGGCTACAGAGTGTTTGGCATATTGAACTGCCATCCTCTAAAAATAATGATGGTCCTTCTGAAATGAAAAAGGTAATTTTATACACCGGCTTTTATGATAGAGTGTTTTATGACCACTGTTATGTCCAGTAATATGGTAGACAAGAGTTGCTCTATGAAGTTACTGTCACTACATATAAATACTTATTATATATATTTGGGGTATGTTTGGAATATATTTGGGTTTTTAGGAATTTTAAATCATAAAACCAACTGACCAGATAAGTTGTCTAACTAGTTTAAGTGATACACATAATTCAGATTTGTATTAATATCAACATCTAAGGATGTTTTACAGTTATATGGCTTTCATTTCTTTTCATTAGACTTATTTCTATTTTGAATTTGTATTTAAATATTACAACATATTATACTGCAATTTACACCTGCTCAGTGGGGAAGGTGTAGGTTATTCTTAAATAGAGATACGGAGAAATAGCTAACAAGGAGAGTCATTTGAGAAACATATGGACATCATAAAATCCTTCTGTATGTAGCATCTGTACTTTCTCATTAGTGAAATATTGTAGTTATGGACATTTTTATTACATTCAAATGTGGCTTTTTATTTTTGCTTCAGTGGTTTTTTTTGTTTTAAAATGTAATTATATTAATGTTTAAATTGGTGGGGGCTCTTATTGTTTGAAGCCCTTTCTTGTCAATAAAGATGTCATACTTAATTTTTATTGCACACATCCGCATATATGTACAATTGTTTCTTAGCTTGCTATTATAACCCTTGCCTTTCTCAGATATTCTTCAAAACACTTGAGAGGCACGTAGGAAGACATATTGTTCTCATTTTCAGAAGAAGGCAGCAGGTACACAGATAGTAGATCCAAGGTCACACACCAGTGAATCAGTGTGAAGCTGAGGGTAACCTCTATATTTCTTGTATTCTGTTCACAATAGCAAGCTGCTCCTGTGGCTATGTTGAACGGTATTTTCATAAATTTCTACAGCCTTGGATCTTTAAACTGCCTAGCTTTCTAGATATGATGATCAGATTTTATATCCGCCAATAGGGTCATAAGGGAATGGGCCCTTACTGTGGCCTGCTGATGGAGAACCGTGACCTCAGTAGGTGGTGTTAAAACAAACATACACACCTTTGAGGGGTATTCATTCTTGCAGTCAGTCCATATGCCACACATCTCTGTTTCCATTGGTCCTACCTTATCAACCACATACTGTCCTTTTAATGCTCAAAGCTGCTTTGAATTTTATCAGCACAGTCACCAAGCTTGAAGATCATCAGTGGTTAGAAGATGTCTAATGGTTAGAGAACTCAGAATGTAATTTTTGAGAAGATAGAGTATTGACTGAGGACAGTAATGGACCGTCCACTCCAGACCCAGCCAGTATTGATTAGGGATCATGTTTTTCTGGGTGTCAGGATACCCATCTTCTCCTATAAGCTCTGCTTGTTTGGCTGAACTTAAATCAAAGTGAACAGTGGGTTTATGCAGTTATCTGGTTCTTTCTGTTCATGTAGACATCGTATCTAGATAAATCAGACTTAAAAAAAAAAAAAGGATGGCAACTTGTTCTTCTGTGGAGAAGGTACTCATGACTTTTTCTTCACTTTTTCAAATTCTGCTTTTCAGATCTCACTGGAATTTTTCAGGGTAATTGCCCACATGATTTGTTAACAGCCAAGACTTATGATATTGTATTGTTAGATTCAGAAGTGGAATACATTACCCACGATACAGAAGAAAGCATTGTATTTTCGTAGAAAAGAGTAATATGTAATGTTATGCAAGCTTTGTGTATTTGAAGAAAATACTTTAATCATTTTCTAATAAGGAGATGGTACCAGTGTTCTCTACTTTATTAAGTTTATTTATTTACTGTCCTTTCCCTAAATGTATGGTTTATAGATAGAGTTCATCCAAACATTTTAAGGGTGAAATACTGAGAAAGTTACTTTTGCAGTGTGATTTGCCATTTACTATAATGAGTTCTGTTTAGAGCCTCAAGGAGAGGAAAACACCCATTTTTAATATTCTTTGCTATACCAGGGAGAGTATAGCATGCTGCTGGTGAGACTGAAAGTTGAAATTCCTGGAAATGGTCCTTTCTTCCCATTTCTACAGAATCTGTGATAAGAAAGAGATTAGTGTGGACTAGTTTAAATGGAATAGTGTTGAATGGAATTTGAAATGGCCAGCGAAGGAAGATAAGATTTGGTTCACTCAGATCTCACTCAAGATATTTGGCAGCAAGTCATTGAAACTAACAAGTTAATTTAAGCATTAAATGAATGTATGAGAGGATATTGACTCTGTTTTCTGTTGCTTTGTAACACATTACCACAAATTTAGCTGTTTGAAACAATGCACATTTATTATCTCTGTCATTGCTCAGGAGTCCACATATGGCCCAACTGCATCCTGTGTTCAGGAATCTCACCAGCTGGTTAAGCCTGCAGTCCTATCTGAGGTTCACTTAGGGTAAGATCTGCTTCAAAGCTTCCTTAGATTGTTAGAAGAATTCATCATCTTGTGGTAGTAGGAGCGAAGTCTCTATGTTCTTGCTGGTTGTCAGTCAGGGGCCACTCACAGCTTTTAGAGGCTGCCCACTGTTCTTGGCCATGTGACCCTCTCATAGGCACTCTTAGAACAGGGCAGCCTACTTTTCAAAGCCAGCAACAAGAGTTGTTGCTACCCTGTAAGACAGTATTTTATAATGAGTGGGAGTGACATGATAATTTTGTCATGGAAGATAATCTAATCAAGGCTGTGACATCCGTCACCTTTGCCATATTCTATTGATTAGCAGCAAGTCCTATGTTCTCTCTCATAGGAGAGAGTATTGCTATCACTGTTGGCACACCAGCTTCTATATTAGAAGCTGAGCTCTGTATTATAAGAGAAAGCATTCATATATAACCATGGGGTTCAATTGCTCAGGGTTCCTAAAGGATGACAAGAGTCTACTGCCAGAAAAGGACAAATATGTGAGCAAATGATTGCTTAATGAAATGTTGAAGTTTTTGATGGTGTAGGCATGATGACCATCTGGAAACAGGTTTGAACTGGAGAGTAGCTGGAAGCATGCAACTCCTGAGAAAGAAAACTCTGGCAGGATTTAGGAGAATGGGGGTAGTGAGGCTTCATTTAGGAATGGTGGTGAGTAAGGGACAGGAGAGGCTAGGTAGGGAGAGACAGGGGGGCTCACCCAGGGGACTAGTAACCAGGCTCACAGAAGTCCCAAATATGGAGAAATCCAGGAGATATTAACCAGAGAGAAGGGAAGGCCTTGTTTGTTCTCATGATATTTACAAGAACACGTTTGCTCTAAATATAGACAGGATATTCTCATGATATTTATAAAACCACCATGTTATTGACATGAAATTTACCAAGTTCCCTGGTCAGTTTTCTATATAAGACCTACTAGAAAAGCTATCAGCCCATAAAAGCCCTCAGTGGCAACCCACTGGGGACCCCTCTCACTCTAGAGTTTTTCTCTCTCCTTTTTGTTCTTATCTTCACTTAATAAGCTTTCACCTCACCCTTTTGTCTAGGAGATTCATTCTTCCACTCTGTGAGACAAGAACCCTGCAATGGTGGTAAAAAAGGAGTAGAAGCCTTTAAAAAGATGAATGATTAGCAGACATGTTAGTCTAGGCATTGGCTTAATTAGTCCTTAATATATTTCACATATGAAAGATCTTTAAAGGATTACTGCCACCAATCCTTGTATGAACCAGTACTGTGATTTGGAGGTCCACAAATTTGGCCTCCCCTTATTTTTCAGGAGGGAACAGAGCTAGAAACCATCTCCGTTTCATTGTACAGTTGTGGCTCAATGAGTATCAGGTGTTGCATAGGGGTATGGGGGGGAGGGGGTCTATTGAGCAGTGCTCTAGCTCCAAGCACGTTGTAGGAGTGATTTTTATCCAATCTGCATGCCCTCTCTGGCAACTTGAATTTCAGTTTCCCTAGTTCTGCCACCCCTGCTTCCCTCCCAAGGAAATGGAGACTTTGAAAGGTTAAATACCTTGCTAAGGGTCATTCAGATGTGGGGGGCACCAAGACTTGAATCTAGTTCTGATTTCAAAGCCCATAGTCTTAACAGCACCCATTCCCTACTCACAAGCAGTAAGTGAGGCTTCCAGGGGAAAGGCTTGTTCTTCCCACTGAAGTGAATGTCGGCACTACAGTTGTTCTTGGGTTCCTTCGTTCATCTTGTGAGAACTGGATACTGGAGTATGAGGGTTAAAGAGGAGTGAGAGCGTGTGCTGCTTTTTTTCCCAGCAGGAAGTACAGATTATAGGTCTGTCTTCCATCTAAAAGTAAGAATGTGGAGTGGAGGCTGTATATTTTTATTTCTACTTATCATTTTGGCAGAAATATAAAGCTCTGTGTCTCCTTTCTCTCCTATATGTAGATTTCTATTAAATTCAATTAGGAAACATTATGCATTCTCATTGCCTCTTTGGCCATAGGGTTCTTTCTTCAGCTTTTTCAGTAGATGCCACTGTTTTGATCTACTTGAAAAGTCTATTGAGACATTTCTCCTTTGTTCTTCTATTACTCAGTTCCCCTTTCTACTCTGTGGTGCCTCTGAATTCTATTCATAGATACTCTACTTTTTTCCCTTCTGTTTTATGTACTTAAATCTCTTCTTTAAGTGGATCTAGTTCCATTGATCACAGTCATTTGCTCGGATCCCGTTGATGCTCTACTGCAAAATACAAGCTCAGTGTGGGACTCATCTGTATTCTGTTAGTTTTACCGAGTTGTACCCCACATCCCAGCATGGTATGAGGAAGACTTTAAGATTTCCCTGGGCATTTAAGTCAGAATACCCTAAAGCAGCACTGTGATTGGGTTGTGTTAGGTCAGGTGCATACCAGTGGACCACTCAACTGTGGCTTACTAGGGTGGGCTACAATAACCTAATCCCCAACAAGTTACAGCTCAGGAAACCTTTAAGTAAACTTATTTTTTCACATAGGACTTAGATAGTCTAACTTATCTTAGGCCAGATTTGACCCTAAAAGCCCAAACTATTTAGCCTGGCATGCAGGTTCTCTCATAGTCTGGACCTAGCCTCTATTTAGTCCCTCTTCATTTTTAAATCTCATCATTCCTTGCTTTAAGGACATAAGCCCTAAGCTTGGAACTAGCTAGTGACTTTAGGTTTTAGATATTGAACAACCAGCCTGACATGTAAAGAAAAGTCAAGATGTGAATGAGTGTGTGGGGGAGGGGTGAGGAGATGAGAAACAAAAGCAATGTTTCAGTTTTTCAGTTCCAGCATCCAATCATTCTATGAGGCCATTCTAGCACTAATTTTGTGGTTTTATGTTTATGTGAGCAAGAAGTTTTCCATAAATTGAGTTTGTCTTTTGGAATTGAAAAGAGTACCAAATAGCACAAGTTTCTTTCAGTCTAGGATTCTCCATGCATTTTTTGAACCTGCTACCTCTGGAACTATCAGTAGCTATCTCTTAGCCAAAATCAGAGTGTTACTCCTCTGGAGTTTTATTTGGGAAGTGTGCCCTTTAGAAGGTGTACCTTCTCTGTGCCCCTTTTCCCCTGTGCCCAACTTCTATCCCTCCACTTTTGTGATGCTTCATCAGGTCACCGTAGCTCACAATGGTCTCCTTCATTTCTGAATCCCTATAGTGATTTAGGCCTTTGGCAATGGTTTACACAGATGTAAAGTTGAATTTTATTATTAATTGAAAAAAATCTGTAATAATAAAAGGCTACTATCTGAGTAAAGCTGTTAAAGGAATTTGCATTTTTTTTTTTTTTTGCCAGAACAGCATCTTTAATGTATTAGTTTTGAAATATAGTGGAAAATTTAATATATGAAATGACTTACATCTCCTTTTGTGGTCTCTTTGCAATTCCATTAGAGATCTATAGCCTCTCATGCCTAGAGGGAAAGAAGGTTTGGCTTCCTCCTGAGTACCCTTCCAAGTAAGGAAGGAAGAATGGTCTGATTTTAGCTAAGCTTACTGGTCTGTCCAGTATGAATCTAAGTTAGTCTTATAAACATTTTGTAAGTGTGTAGGAACATAGAATAAAGTGCAAACACTTTTACTTACGGATTTCACAGATTATAAAACCCAAACCAATGAGCCAACATTAAATGTAAACAGCAGAATTGATGAAATTGAAAGGAACAACATTAAATTTTGTGATAAGTGATATATTCCTGAACTTACATTGCCAGTGTTGGGTTTAATAATACAAAGATGTAGCCTCAGATCTTGTTCTTATTTAATCTGTTTCTGTGTTTTACACTGATATACACATAGGAAGTGTCCTTTTAAAAAATAGATTTAAAACCCTTCACAATATTAACTTCAAGGCTTTGTTTGTTGGTTCAGTGTAATCAGACTTCATACATGAACAAAACTCTACTAGTAAATAATCTTCAAACGTCAGTTTTAAGGTATCACCTGAGCACTCTATAGTGTCTTTTTGTTCTCTTAAAGATGTGATCAGCATTGTGAAATTATTGAATTCTAAATTGAATGTGTAAGCCATATCCAAAGATTGCAGGAATGGAGAACAGATTGCGTAGAAACTACACACAGATAGCACGTATGCATCACCTTCAAGCACGATGATGATTTTAACCGCTATAGAGCAGGTGCTTTTGGATGCCTTACTCCCATGTGTTCTATAGTGACTCAGTTCATCCTCACCTTTTTTTCTCATCAGACTTTATTTATTTAGCAAACTGTATGTTATTTTGCCTTCACCTAGTACCTGCATGATTGAGAAAACCAATCACAAATAGTGGAATGAAAACTCCATGGTGGTTATTTTGTTTTAAAGATGCTTATTCAGAAATTAATTAGAATATATTTATATTTATTTTACACTTCTTTTTTTTTATTATTTAAAGATTTTATTTATTTGAGAGAGAGAGAGACAGAGATAGCAAGGGAGAGCATGAGTGGGGAGGAGAGGGAGCCTGACTCTGGGCTCAATCCCAGGACTCTGGGATCACGACCTGAGCCGAAGGCAGATGTTTAACCAACTGAGCCACCCAGGCGCCCCTATTTTACACTTTTAGATTGTCATCCCAGTGAAAACCCAAAATGGTAAAACAAAATTGCACATCAAACTTTTCAGTTTAAAATACATAGTCCCAAATACTAATTGCCACTTAAAATATTTTATGTCTTACTCTGTGTTGTGTCATTAACTAAATTGTAAGCCCTGTGAAGTCAGCGAGAACGTGCTTACTGTTTTTTTGTTTTATTCTACAGCACCAAGTGCGTTTCTGTTAGTTGGTGCCTAAGAAGTGTTTGCTGATGGACCAACTGTTTATATGTTATTTCCTATGGGACTGTGAGCTCCTAAGGGCAGGGACTATTTTATTTTAATCTGTCGATTCCAGATGCCTAGCACAGCAACTCTTACATGAGAAATCCTCAATAAATGCTCTGAAAGAAAGAGCGGATGAGTTACTAGCTTTTGTTTGTGTGTGTATGTGTACATTTGCATGTCTTCTTTTAGATCTCATGCTTCGTATACAAGGCACTTTTAACACTTATATAGATCAGTGCTATCTAATAGAATCTTTGCTGATGATGGAAATGTTCTGTATCTGAGTACTCCAATTATCATAGTCAATAGGCACATGTGACATTTGAGCACTTGAAATGTAGTCAGCCTGAGAGCCTGAATTTAA